CTTGCTCCTTATCCTCCTCCTCCTCCTCCTCTTTATTTCCTGTTGTCCTCCTCCTCCTCCTCCCTCTTTCTTCGCCTCCCTCCTCCTCACTTTTTTTTCTCTTCCTCCTTATCTTCCTTGCCTCCTCCTCTTTCTTCTCCTCCTCCTCCTCTCTCTCCTCTCATTTACCTCCTTTTCCTTGTCCTCCTCCTCCTCTTATTAAATTGTCCTGCTTCTCCTCCTTATGCTTTCCTTGGTCCTCCTCCTTTTTCTCTTCCTCCTCCTCTTCTCTCCCCTCTCTTTACTCCTTTTCCTTGTCCTCCTCCTTCTCTTTTAATTACTCCTCTTCTCTCCTCCTCCTTCTTCTCTCTCCTCTCTTTATCTCCTTTTTCTTGTCCTCCTCCTCCTCTTTTATTACTCCTCTTCCTCCTCCTTTCTTCCTTGTCTCCTCCTCCTTCTTTCCTTGCCCCCCTTATCCTCCTCCTCTTTCTTCTCCTCCTCCTCCTCCTTTTTATTACTCTCTTCCTCCCGCCTCCTCCTTATCTTCGCTTGTCCTCGCTCCTCCTCCTCCTCCTCCGTTTTCTCCTCAACTTATGCTTCCTTGTCCCCCTTATCTTCTTCTCCATCTCCTCCTCCTCCCTCCCTCTGCCCGCTCTCTTCCCCCCTTCCCTCACGATGACTTGCGAAAATACCGACAGGAATTAAAGAAATAAGTACTCTCTTCTTGTTCTTCCTTCATTATTAATTCATTTTTTTTTTCTCTCTCATTCTCTTCTCTTGTTCTCTAATTCTTCTTTTTCTCTCCTCTGCTCCCTATTTTAATTATGCCTCGTCATTGTTGTTTTTGTTAGGTGATGGTGAAATAAAAATTTTTGCCGAAATGATGATGGGTGGGTGATGATGATGATGGGTGATGCTTTTTTTTATAAGTGGTGTTGGTGGTGGTGATGATGATGATGGCTGATGTATTATTGCATTTGTTGCTATTATCATTTTTATTTGTCATTACGATATATTCTTCAATCATTGCTTTGTTATAGCATATATATACATTATACAATACCACCACATTATCATCAATCACTAACCATCATCACCAACAATTACTATCATTATCATCATCATATAGATAATACATCATCATAATTTCAGTTAAAAATTTCTCCTTAAAAATATAAATAATACAACTAATAATATACAAATAATTAGATTTAGAAGGGAAGAAAGAAAGAGAGAGAGAGAGAAGAGAGAGAGAGAGAGAGAGAGAGAGAGAGAGAGAGAGAGAGAAGAGAGAGATAGAGAGAGAGGGGAGAGAGAGAGGGGGAGGGAGAGAGATAGAATTAGATAGATAGATAGATAGATAGAGAGAGAGAGAGAGAGAGAGAGAGAGAGAGAGAGAGAGAGAGGAGAGAGAGAGAGAGAGAGTAGAGAGTAATAGAGAGAGAGTAGAGAGAGGAGAGAAAGAAAGAAAAGAAAGAAAGAAAGAGAAAGAAATGAAAGAAAGAAAGAAAGAAAGAAAGAGAAGAGAAGAGAAGAGAAGAGAAAGAGAGAGAGAATGAGAGAGAGAGAGAGAGAGAGAGAGAGATAGAGAGAGCGAGCGGAAGCTTTTGAAAGCGTTGAACAGCAATACTGCAACCGAAAGGACTCCTCCTCCTCCCCTTTTCTCACCCCCCCTCCCCGATAATGCATTGAACAATCCACCGACTAAAAAAACAAAAAGATATATATACACCACCCCTCCCCCTTCCCATACATAATACTGCCTCAAATGAATGACCACAGTCGGACACCCCATATATACCACCATCCCCCCAGGACCTCTCATATCTTTTTTTTCACCTTCCCATTATTTGTTCTAAACCCCCTCCCCCTCTTCTCCCTTCTCTCTCTCGTTCTACCCTTCTTTATTCTATTTCCTTTATTTGGGATTATTTATTTCCCTCTCTCTGCTTCTTACTACTCGTTATATCGAAAGAAGAAAGACAGAAAAGAAAAACATAGAAACAGAAAAAAGGAGAAAGATGTAGGGGGGGAAGAATATGGGCGGGGCAAGAACCGCTCTCCCTCTTCCCCTTCCTCTTCCCTCTAACTTCCTTCCCCCTGCCCCTTTCTTCGAAGCACTTCTATCATGTTTCTAACAACTGATTAAATAGAGAGAGAGGATAGATATGTGAGAAGGAGAGGGAGGGAGAGAGGAAGAAGGGAGAGAGGAGAGAGAGGGAGGGAAGAAGGAGAGAGGGAAGGAGGGAGAAGAAGGGAGAGAGGAGGGAAGGGAAGAAGGGAAAGAAAGGAAGGAGAGAAGGAGAGGGAGGGAGGAGTAGAGGGAGAGACGAGAAGAGAGAGAGAGAGAGAGTAAGAGAGAGAGATGAAGAGAGAGATGAGAGAGAGATGCCAAGTGATATTTAAATTAATTGTAAAATATGAAAAACAAATGTTGGTGATCGCGTGGAGATTGTCTGCGCGAATGTTGGCATTAGTCTCTCTCATCTCGTCTCCCTCTTCCTCTCTCTCCTCTCTCTTT